CTACTACATCAGTGGTTGGTGGTAACGGTCATTTACCGATTGAAGGATATGGTGATTATCACAACTGGCATAAGAAAATTATATTCTGAGAATTGCCATATTGGAGACATCATAAATTACGACACAATCTTGATGTTATGCATATCGAAAAGAATTTTTTCGATAACATCATTAATACAGTGTTGAACGTTGCTCAGAAAACAAAAGACAATATCAACTCAAGGAAGGATATAGGGTTGATTTGTTCGAGGAAGGATTTGGTACTTACACCTGATGGCAAGGCGCCGGTACCAATTTTCCGTGTGTTTGGAGAAGCGAAGATGAACTTTTTTAGATGGTTACAGGAAGATGTGAAATTTTCTGATGGTAACTCGTCAAATATTTCGCGATGTGTTGACCTCGGAGGAAAAAAGTTAACAGATATGAAGAGTCATGATTGTCACGTCTTCATGCAACGATTGTTACCTATTGCATTTGCAGATATACTTCCGGAACATGTCAACCAAGCTATATCAGGTATGTTTTATTTCGTAGTAGCGGTTTTAATAGTACTTATGATCTTTACACGTGTGCTTTAGTTATATGTTGATATTGTACTTATACCCTCATGTTTTTGAACCGTAGGAATTAGTAACTTTTTCCGGAAAATCTGTAGTCGGACATTGAAAAATGGAGACGTCCAGTTGATGAAGCAAAATATTGTTCTAATTTTGTGCAATTTAGAGAAGATATTCCCACCATCTTTTTTTGATGTGATGGAACATCTACCAATTCATCTGCCACGTGAAGCGGAACTCGGCGGTCCGGTTCAGTTTAGGTACGTATATACATTAATATTAATGTCTATATGATTTGAATTATGTATATGAATGGATACGTAGATTTATTGTGCAATTGTTGTAGATGGATGTACCCGTTTGAGCGGTTTATGTACCACTTGAAGCAAAAAGCGAAACAAAAGGCGTTTGTTGAAGGAAGCATTGCAGAACAATATATAAACGAAGAAATATCATTCTTCACCTCGTATTCTTTTGAAGATCAAGTGCAAACAAAGAATAAACAACCAAACAGATCATTTCACACCGTAGATGGACCGGAGTACGAAAATGTTGTCATGGATATCCCGCAATGTTTCTATAGAAAAGGACGATGTGGTGGTCGAGAATTCGATGCACATTTATCGGACAAAGATTACCATGTCGTCCACACGTATGTTTTGTTGAACTGTGAAAAAGTTTTACCGTTCGAAAGGTGCGTATATACGTATATAATTTTAAATTGAATGGTCAATTAAACTTATATAATTTGTATTGTGGTTTTTTGTAGGATTTTTGATGATCATGTATTCAATACGTACGGTGATGTGAATGATGATCAATTAAGCCGGATTAAAGAGAATGGATTCGCAACTTGGGAATTTGTATGTAAATCGAATAAGTAAATTAAATAACATCGCATAGGGTTTAACGCTAATCACATGCCAAATTGTTGGTCGATTGTTTTTTTACAGATTGAATCATCGCAAGAAGATCATCCATTGTGGTTACACGAGTTAGTTCAAGGTCCCATTCGGCGGGTCAAATGTTAGCCAATGTTCTCTACGAGAGGATATTTATTTCATACATATGAACATGGGCAACATCGTTCGACGGCAAATTATGGTATATGTGTGAAAGGCAAGAGTTACTGTGCTTCGGATGATGAACCAGATTTCCATGGCATTCTTCAGCAAATTTTCCAAGTACAGTATCCGGGTCATATTGGACTTAAAGTGATGATTTTCAGATGTGACTGGTTTGATCCGACACCGGGACGCGGAATACGGATCAACAAATCAGGGATCACTGATTTTGTTACTCCCGTCGATATAGAAAATACGACCCTTTTATATTGGCATCCCAAGCAGATCAGATATGTTTTATCCCTTATCCAAGAGATAAAACGCGAAGAAATGACATCGATTGGAAGGCCGTTATCAAGAATAATCCAAGAGGGACCATTACATATGACGGATCGGTGGAACAAAGCCCGCTTCAGGACGAACACACAGTTATAGCTGTCGCGGAACAATTGATGTGGAGAGGCTAGTAGTGGAACAAGGGATATTTGAAGAACTAGAAATTGGAAACCTCGATGAGGAAGGCGATAGCAGCGAAGACTCCAACCCCGAAACAGCGGAAACATCATCGTATCGTTCGTTTGATTAACCTGTTAATTATGTAATGTTTGTGTATTTATTTTTTTTAATTATTTTTCTATTTTGCGATGGATATTATCCATCCGTATCCGTCTCTAAATTTCTGCCCTTTCTTTCAGAAATTTTGGGAAATTTTTTGAAAAATTTAAAACCCATGTGCGACGGACAGAGTTCCGTCGTTAAATAAGATAATCCGTCACTAATGGCCATGTGTTCAAACATTAGCGACGGATGCCGACGGTTAAGTTCCGTCGCAACGTCGAATACATATCGGGATTCCTTTTCTTTCTTCTCCCCCTCGACGCGATAACGGTGACCTTGCTGCGATTTCCGGTCCTTGCTGCGATTTCCGGCCACCCACCGTCCAAGACAGCCTGTCCGATACCGTGCGAGGTAAGTCTTGTTGGTTGTAATGCTCTAGGATGATCCATGATATGACATTTTACTTTGTATTGATTCATTGATTTATGAATGCATTATTTATCCGTTATACGATTAGCATGTTTGTTGTATTTCGGCATCCTTGGATCATTAGAGAATGATTCTAAACTCCCTAGTCAGTCATCATTGTGGGAACAATGTTGAATGAAGACTAGCATGAGGTGTGATCAACGCGTTGGATGTAGATCACAATCATGGGTACTCGTTGTGAACGAGTGACTGGATGACCCGCATGAGATTGTCACATGGACAGAGTCATGACTTGAATCTCATACAGCGGTTCGTTTATGGATCCTCATACCTGAGATGTCTAGAGTATCTGATATGAGGAGTGACGTGTCTTGACTGCGTCAAACGTCGTCTTTAACCGGATGATTATAACGGCGTTGATCAGATACGTTCACGAATCATATGAAGATAGTAGACATGCAATATGGGACTTGTCACCTCCTTAACAGGAGAGATATCGCTGGGCCCTCTCGTGGAAGTCGGACTATGAAAACGCGTGGCCACGCTATAGATGAACTTGCATCTATTCTATTAGTCGTTTTGCCAAGACGAGAAAGCAGTTAAACTTGAAGGGTGGCTCATACCATGCCCTTGTTCAACATATGACATCGTGAGACAAAGGATCAGAATTCGAGCTGTTAATACCTTGGTTAGATCACCTCTAACTCAATTCAAAATGGGTGGTCATGGCGTCTTGTTAGAGGCTAACCATGACTTGTGGTTCGGGAAAAGTTCCTAAAGTCACTACCACTTAGAATGGGCCTACAGAGTCACACACCAATAGGGATGGACTTATACGTGAAGAATACGAAGAATGGAAACGAGATTTGACCGAAGGAGCTGACCACACGTGGTCCGCCGGACCAAACCTTCAGGTCAGCCTTCAGGTAAGCCGGTCCGTGGGCCTCGGACTAAGCTTGGTCCGCCGGACCAAGCTCCTGGTCCGGCGGACCGGGATCCGGAATATTTCCAAAAATTCGTTTTAGGGTTTTCTAATCTTATTTAGTTTTGGGATTTTCGTCCAAACTAAAAGGAGAGCCGACCTAAAACTCAGAAAAACATCCTAGAACCCTAGAGAACCTGTTCTCTTCGATTTCTATTGTTTCGGGATTGGATCTCGTCTCTTGAGTTACCCTTTTCTTCACTAATCCTAGCAGATTTGTTCCAAATCGTTTGGAATCCTTCCCGTCGGTGTGGATACGTGTAGAGGAGCTGTACTTTCAGCTCTTGGTGATTTAGAATAAGCCCCGGATCGAAATAAACTTCAAGTCTCATCGAGAACGAGGTAAGTAACGATTCCCTCGGTGATATACACGATCTTTCGGGTTTTTGCGAGTTTGGTTGCGTGTGACGTTTGACTAGGTTTAGATCTTTCTTCCGCCGCATGAAACCTAGTAAACCAAACCCTAGATCGATATGATCGCATGCTAGGAACCCGTAGATAACCCTACAAGTCTTTCCTCTCTCCTTCTCTCCATTGGTGATGATTCGCTAAAGCTTTTCCTTTAGGGTTTGAATGAGATTTGTGCGAAATCACACAATCCATCAAATCCGGCTAAAGGTTACGGTTTGGGGTAGAAATTATATCGATAGTTAAGGATTTTTGTGTGTCATCTCTCGAATTTATGGGATTGAGTTTTAAATTCGCAACTTTCACTCCGAAAATCCTAAGATCCGAAAATTTTCGGCTTTTGTGGATGATTTTCGGCGAATTATGGAGTGATTTTGTCTGGTTTTGGATTGTTTTTGGTGTTTCGATATCTGTTTCATGGTTTAGGATAGAGATTTGATGGTTTCGTTTTTAGGGTTTCAGATTTAGAGTTTCGTTTGGGGTTTAGGGTTTCGTTTTTAGGGTTTCAGATTTAGGGTTTCGTTTGGGGTTTAGGGTTTTGTTTTTAGGGTTTCAGAATTAGGGTTTCGTTTGGGTTAAGGGTCTCGTTTGGGATTTAGGGTCTCGTTTGGGGTTTAGGGTTTCGTTTGGAGTTTAGGATTCTCAATTTAGGGTTTAGGGTTTCAATTCGGGATTAGAGTTTCAATTCTCAATTTAGGGTTTAGGGGTTTCCATTCAGGATTAGAGTTTCAATTCTCAATTTAGGGTTTAGGATTTCAATTCTCTTTTATAGGGTTTCAATTTTCAAGTTAGAGGTTACGATTTACGGTTTAAAGGGTTTAGGGTTTCAATATGTAGATGAGTCAGTCACGTACCGGGAGTAGATCGGGTGGCGGAGTCCGATCTCGCGGACGAGGATCCGGCGTTTCTAGTCCTTCTACTCCTACTTCTCAGCAGCCCCCAGTACCCAGACCTCGTTTGGATCAACCTTTCACGGGTCAATCCATGCAGCAACCTTCACATGAAGGTTGTTCGCGTGATTCATCAGTATCACTCCGAGAAATACTCGCATCCGAAGATCGTCGTGCGACGAGACCGCACCTTAGTCCAGACAGAACCAACGGTACTTTATGGTAAGGAACATTGTAACAATTCATTTCTATTTTTTATATTAACGTTTACAGTTATATAACTAAGTATATTTATATACTCGCATAGGTTCGGTCGTCATCCCCAGATGCGGCAGACAATCGTGAGCACCTTCCAGAGTGATTTTCAGGGTCCTTGGCTCAGTATCACTCGTGTCCCTCCAGCGACTCTGGAGCGTTGGTTTTGTGCATTTGCAGTAAGTTTTCAAATTCAAACTATTCTTTTAATTTCATTTATTGTTTTATTAACATCAAATTTTTATTGCAGCAAGCTTTTTATTGGGAGGAGTGCTACCACGACAAGGTTTATGCCGATCGGACGGTACATATGTGGATGAGTGGGTCCAGTAGATCGAGGAGTTGGTGCAGTCCAAGATCGACGATAGAGTCTCCCAGATGGACGAGAGTACTGTTTCTACACAACTCTCGACAACCGAAGTTAACAGCCTATATCTTGAGGTAAATATTTATAAAATTAATAGTTTTGAATTTTAAAAATATATGATTGTATGCCCTCGGTGTCAAGTTCATACATACATACATATGTATAAATTCACATACCCTCGGTGAGATTCTTCGTTGTGAGTTTCGAGTAGATTCTTGATGCCGTTGTAACATATCCCTGTGATCATACCATCTGGTTTTGATATAGTGACTTGCAGTATGCCATTGTCCATCACCACCTGCAATACCATTGTGTGTGTGTGTATACACGCACCCATATAAAGTCTGAATTCACCATATATACATATACATATACATATCCATACATATCTCTCTCTCTCTCTATATATATATATGAACGTGCAGAAAAAAAGTGCACAAGGGTTTTGGTTATTACATGCTTTTCTTGGATACGTAACTCAACAACACCTTGGCCCGACATGTCCGTCCTTGTGGGTTTTCGTTTATGGGTTTTCTATTTTCGAGAAGAAGCTTTTGTGTTCTTGTTTTTCCTTCGAGTTTGAAGAGAGAGAGAGATATATATACACACATACATAGAAATCGAGCATGCAAATTCACACCGAAGAAAACCAAAAGTGAAAAAGTGTTTGTAAACACTTTACTCAGAAGCTACTTAATAGTTATGGTCCTGTTTTTTTTATTCTCCTTCAAGATTACAAAATCTGTGACGTTAAGGTTGGCGTTTATTTTAAGCATAAAAAAAGGAAAGAAAAAAATACGCTACAATATTATCATTTTCTCAATGATTAATAGTTTTTTTCCCCTGATTTAGAGATTAATTAATTATCATCTTATCCGAATTTTGTAACATCTAAGGGACAGTTGAATTGGATGTATCGATACATTTGTGGTAGCGGTTAAAAGCATTTTTAATGTATATTACTTTTTGAGATTTTGAATGAATTTTATGAAGATTATGGAGAGTTAAAAAGAGTTAGAGTTATCTATTATGTAATTATATTACTAATAAAATTAGTGTTAGTGGATTAGTTTATAGTTTTTCCTTGGAATGAAGTTTATTCTCTATCTATATTTCTATACATGTTATTTGTCTTGATTAAATAATACAAAAAAAAATTATTCTACAAATCTTGGCATGGTGATTGCAAATTGTTTCGATTTTAGAATAATATATGAAATCTTCTAATTTTGATATGAATGTTATCTCTGCCTTTTTAAAGGCCGGCAAAAAGATCGTATAGGATCTTGTGAAAATTGACAAAACCGTTTGTGTTCATATATGAATATATTCGTCAATTGATTATTAGAAGGTTATTTTTTGTCAATTGACGTACGTCGTTATTAAATTATCAGTATACTTTTTAACTTTAGCTAAATTATATAGCTTTTTTATACGACTTTATTCTTTTAAACTAGTTTTGTTTTTTCTTTTGGCGAAAGTTTTATTCAAAATAGAACCGATGTTTAGCCAATAATATGATACTCCCTCTGTTTTTTATATTACGTTTTACAATAATATTTTTGTTTCAAAATAATTGACGTTTTGAGATTTTTCATGTAATTTTTAATATTTTTTCTAAATTTATCCCTAATTAATAATATTTTTATATATTTTGTGAAAATATATCTCATACAATGATAATAACAAAAACTCCACACTGATTCTATTCTTTAATAAAGTTTTTACACCACAAAAAATTCTATTAATAAATACTTTGTGCGTCTCAACACACTATGTTTAAACCTAGACACGTCTAGACTGAGCAGTTCGTTAGTTTATTATAACGACTCCCCCTTAGATGTAACTTATTGGTGAGCACGCACCGAGTCTTATATTTAATACCCGATTCGTACCACTATCCGCAAGTATACGGTAGTTGTAGTACCGGGGTCGAAGACGAGGACTAGGATGTATTAGTCTATCTCTAAGCTAGATTAGGTGGTCAAGTAAAAATGTGGGTTGTGGTAAGGGTCGGAATACAAGAAAGCAAGTAAAATTAACGGTTTGTAAAACGATGGTTTGAGGCGTTGTAGGTTCGGGATCCCTCAAGAATCGCATGGATAGTTAATGATGCTACAATGTCTATGGGTTATCCTCCATATGGGGGTTTCAAGCACTTCTTCTAGAGTTTGTCTCTCCCAAGCTTAAACTCACTACCTAGAGGATCGATTCACCCATCTCCCAATGATCTAAATGATCTCTAGATGCATTAGTGTACCCTATCATGAACCCTAAGCAAGTTAAGCCATCTCCCAATGTGAATAACTCACTCATTTGACATTTGGTTCCAAACATCATTCCCATATCCCTATGATCAATGTGTTCTACAATCATATCAATTAGGGTTTCAACCAAATCAATAGCATTAAGCACAAAACATCAAACCCATGGAAGAAACTCAAAGACATCATAGATCGGTTCTTCGACTATTTGTGGTTCTCGAACTTCTTCGAGATCTATTCTACTCCTACTAACTCTCTTGGAGACGAACTCTCTCTCCAAGAAAGATCCATTCCGGGCAACAAACACTTTGTTCTCGGATGGGTTGTAGAACCAATACCCTTTAGTTTCCTTAGGGTAACCCACAAATATGCATTTATCAGATTTGGCGGATAGCTTATCAGAAGCCAAACGTTTCACATAAACGTCACATCCCCAAATCTTCATGAATGCTAACCTAGGACGCTTCCCAGTCCATATCTCATATGGAGTCTTCTGAACCGACTTTGTGGACAGTTGTTCAGTATAAGCGCTGCCGTTTCCAATGCGTAACCCCAAAAGGATTTAGGAAGATCGACCTGACTCATCATAGACCGTACCATATCTAATAGGGTCCGGTTCCTATTAGATATGGTACGGTCTATGATGAGTCAGGTCGATCTTCCTAAATCCTTCTGGGACTACGCTCTGGAAACGGTTGCGTTTATACTGAACAACTGTCCAACAAAGTCGGTTCAGAAGACTCCATATGAGATATGGACTGGGAAGCGTCCTAGGTTAGCATTCATGAAGATTTGGGGATGCGACGTTTATGTGAAACGTTTGGCTTCTGATAAGCTATCCGCCAAATCTGATAAATGCATATTTGTGGGTTACCCTAAGGAAACTAAAGGGTATTGGTTCTACAACCCATCCGAGAACAAAGTGTTTGTTGCCCGGAATGGATCTTTCTTGGAGAGAGAGTTCGTCTCCAAGAGAGTTAGTAGGAGTAGAATAGATCTCGAAGAAGTTCGAGAACCACAAATAGTCGAAGAACCGAGTGAACAGGTCGAAACAGTTCAACCTGTATCACAAGTTGTTGAGACA